GTCTTGATTTCAGAAATCTGTATTCTCTTCTTATTCGAGTTTTCCGGATGATTCAGGTACAAATGGGACAAGAATGAGAAACATTTGAGACCTGAGATGGCTTTATATTACCTTCGAAGAGATCTCAAAGTCTTTGCAAATTTGAGACCTGCTACAGTTTTGCCACAGGTATTATTATAATAAGGGGGTTCGATTTGTTTTAGCACTTGGATTTTTTTGGCTTGCAATTTTTAAAGTTTTGCTCTGTTTTTTTTTTTGCAGCTTGTTGATGCTTCGAGCTTGAAGAGAGAAATAGCAGAAGGTGTTGATATGATGATTGTAAGGGAACTTACTGGAGGTATTTACTTTGGTGAGCCAAGGGGTATTAAGATCAATGAAAATGGCGAAGAAGTCGGTATTAGTACCGAGATTTACGCTGCTCACGAGGTTACTACTACTATCTCTTCACAGTGTAGCTCTATGTGACATTGGACTATACATATGTTTAATAATGCCTTTGTTCATGTTCTTCAGATCGATAGAATTGCTCGTGTTGCATTCGAGACTGCTAGGAAAAGGCGTGGCAAGCTCTGTTCTATTGACAAAGCCAATGTCTTGGATGTATGTTTTGATATCATTTTTTTTAGTCCAATTTTGTGTGTTTCTCGTAATGCAATTTTTTTTTTATATTAGGCATCAATGTTGTGGAGGAAAAGAGTAACAGCGTTAGCCTCTGAGTATCCAGATGTTGAACTYTCACATATGTATGTCGACAATGCTGCAATGCAGCTTATTCGTGACCCGAAACAGGTGCTCGTCTCTCGCATATATATATCAAACTTAGCCGTTGATTAAGCTACGGAAGTAGTACTAATTAGGGAGGTTTGTTGATGTTTTAAAAAAACATTGCAGTTTGATACAATTGTCACCAATAACATTTTTGGCGATATATTATCTGATGAGGCTTCAATGATCACTGGAAGCATTGGAATGCTTCCATCTGCAAGTCTCGGTGAATCGGTAAATAAGATTTAAAATCTTAATCTTTCAAGGTACCTACTTCTGTTTATTAACCATATATGTAAAATCCTTACTTGTGATGGAATTTAGGGACCTGGACTCTTTGAACCAATACATGGTTCTGCACCAGATATAGCTGGACAGGACAAAGCAAACCCATTAGCCACCATTCTCAGCGCCGCGATGCTTCTGAAATATGGACTTGGAGAAGAAGAAGCTGCAAAGAGGATCGAAGACGCGGTCTTGGATGCTCTCAACAAAGGGTTTAGAACCGGAGACATCTATTCCCCTGGAAATGTATGTTTGATGATTCCTATCATTTTCTTTTACAAGTTAGTAAGTAACAAAGAGTTTGATGTGTTTTTGTTTTGAAAATGGAATCTGAAACAGAAACTGGTGGGATGCAAGGAGATGGGTGAAGAGGTGCTCAAATCAGTGGACTCCAAAGTTGCAGCTACTGTTTGATTTTAATGATGAAAACAAGTGTGATTGATGCTATTTGATCCCTTTGGTTTGAGGTTACTAATATGCTAAGCTTTTTTTTTATAAATAAATTAAATAATTGAGAYTCGATTCTGCAATTTAGAAGAAATGATCCTCCTGCCTCACTTACCTTGTTCTTCATCATGAAGATTGGGAAGTTCTCTCCATTCTCCAACTACAAACTCAATATCTTTCAATCAATATTTATTATTAACAAAAGAAAATTCAAGAGAGGGAACTATGATCTATACTACTTGCAAAACATACTTTTTCTCAGAAACCAAACTTGTAAAAACTTTACATTTAAAAAGACCGGAAAGAAAAAAAAACACTATCAATCAGTAGTAGTAGCCTAGGGGGGTTCACAAGGACGTGTCGGATTTGCGTTCAGCGTCTGCGGCAGACTGCATTTGAGCTGCGTATTGTAAGTTCCACAGAACATCTTCAAAGGAAGGTCTTGCAGAAGGTTCAAGCAAAACGCATTTATTGGCAATTGAGATCGCAATCGATAAAGACTCCTGCGAGCTAGTTGTTAGGACCGTTGGATTCACTATTTTCTGCCTACCGTCTTGGCTCCCAAATGACGACTGCAAAAAATGCAACAAAATTACTATCAACAACGTTAAACAAGCACAAAAAAAATGGTGAAGATTGCTTTTTCAACATGTTACCATTTCGTTGAGAAGAAAGGCTTCTCCTTTTGTAGTGGGCACTGGTCCTATTAGAGATTCAAGAAGTATGAATCCGAAGTTGTACACATCGTCCTCTCTTTTAGCGATTTTCCTGCATAATTCCCAAGTTTTAAAACTCATGTTTGTTTAGATTCTGCTAAACGCCATAAAGTTTTGCAAGAGAAGGGCAAAAGATACATACTTTGACTTGTGGGTTTCTGACTTTGTCTGCAAAATGCATAAGAAGAAGCAAAAAGTAGAGTCCTGTCTTAGTCTCAAGGACGAGAATACAAAATGGAGAATAAGCAGAGAGCGGGAGAGGAAATGGAGCAAACCTCGAGCTTTTCGTTCTCTTCAATGATTGCAGAGACTCCATAGTCACTGAGCTTTGCAATCTTGTGTTCGTCAAGCAAAATGTTGTTAGTCTTGAGCTGATTGTTAAACGAACCAGGCATTACACCGGTGTGAAGAAAATGAACTGCCTTTGCTATCTCAATCAGAATTGCTAGCCGATTTGGCCATGTCAGGATCTTCTCCGAGAAAGACTCTACAGAAAATGCTAACAACATTGAGTTTCTAAGTACAGAGAGACTCAATCTAACAATTGAGTTTACTACATATATTAATCTGACCTGATAGATGTGCGCGATAACTCCCACTGGGCATATATTCGTATACAAGGTAGAGTATGGTCACTGCAGGATCGTATTCTCCGTTAATTTGAGTGCAGTGGCCCAAGAAGCTAAGGAGATGAGGATGGTTGAGCTTAGACATCCAATCTAAGTGACCTCTGATACTCTGGCTGGAGAATTTCCTTGATAAAACCAGACATCTTATAGCTATGGAACTTCCATTTTCCAGTGTTCCTCTGTATAGCTGCAAAGAATCAAAACAAGGAGAGTAAAGCAAATGACAGATAGTGAGGTCACAAGAATCAACCTTGCGTTAGCGAACCATACCTTTCCAAGGGAGCCTTCACCTAAGAAACGCGATGAGTCGAAATCGTCTGTGGCTTCCTTTAACTCTTCGAAAGAAAATGACCGGCATGAAGGTACACCTTGTGCACCTAGCTTTGCTGTTTGAGAGATCAACCCTGCAAGACGATAGCGTTAAACGATTTAAACTCCTGAAAGACAATTGCTAGCAGGCAAAAGTCTACATTTTTGGAGTCAAAGTTACTCACTTGCACTAGCTAGAACTTCAGATGAGAGACTGGTGTGTGAATTATCTGTCAGAACCTTAAGCCGAGTTTGCGGTACTGACTTTTCTCTTGAACAACAACAACAACATGAGCGCTTTGCGCATAGTAGGAGGAGTCCTAATGCAAACAAGACAAGAACAGCTCCAGTAATTACAGCAACTAAGATCCCAATTTTTCTTCCTTGGAACTGTTTTCCCTCAGTGTCAGCCTCTTCACATAAGAATTCTTGATGCTGATCATGATTGCCAATTATGGACAAGCAGTTTCCACCGAGTTTAACAACTCGCTCGCCGGAAGCGCCTGCCAAGCAACGGGGAGGAGTTCCAATTAATCTGTTATTCGATAAATCCACAAATCCGAGTTTGCCTCCACAGGTCAGATTGAGCGGTAGCTTCCCACTGAGCTTGTTAGATGCCAAGTCCAAGTAACTAATATTTGGCAAAGAGAACAAGAACCAAGATGGAGTTCCAGTCAGATGATTGAATGATAAGTCAAGATGCTGAAGCTGAGACAAACCGCCAAAACGTCTGGGTATTTCGCCGGAGAAGGAGTTCTTGCTCAGTAGTACAGTAACTAATCTTTTAGGCATCACAGGTAGTTCAGAATCCAAATGGTTCTCTCTCAGATCCAACATATGGAGATGTTCTAACTTGCTGAGATCAGGCAATTTACCAGAAATCTCATTGTGTGATAGAGCAAGATTTGTAAGTCTTCCAATTCTGCAGATTGAAGAAGGAAACGGACCGTTGAACCGATTGTTCTTTAAACTAAGAACAGTAAGGTTGGTCAAGGAATCGAACGAGTCAGGAACACTTCCGTTGAAGTAATTCCCATCAAGGATCAGACTTTGAAGCCTAACCAATCTTGAAATATCAGGAGGGACAGAACCAAAGAGATAATTCGAACTCAAATCCAAGTACTCAAGAGAATACAACCTATGAATCTTCCCTGGGAACTCACCATAGATACCTAGAGACACTAAGCTAAGAACCTTCAAGCTTGTAAGCCTTGTCAATGTAGTAGCAAAAGAATCAATCAAGAAAGCTTCAGAGAGAGTGTGGTTCGGAAGTGATGACCCATAGAACATACCAAATGGTTTAAAAAGCTTATCCCCCATGACTTTAAGCTCCGTGATGGAATTACCTTCACAGGAGATGCTCATATGAGCAGTTGCAGAGATTTCACATAAGTCTCCGTAGTAATTTCCCCAAGATTCAAGAGCTTTAGGGAATTCTAGATGCTTCCTAAGCTGATACAAGACCTGGGTCTGAGAGTTTTGAAGCTGATGGGTGCTTTGTAAGAACAAGAACCATGAAAGAAAGACTAAAGGCAAGACCTTTGATTGAAACATGGTGAATTAGCAGAAAAGAAACAGTACCCTAGAGTCAGAAGCAGATTTGGGTTCTGAGATGATAATGAAAGAGACCCATTTAGGTGTTTTTGCTAAAGAATTTGAAGAAAAGTGTTTGTGCAGAAACTCTGGACACGAAGAACTTAACTGAGAGAGCAACGGCTAGTCAAAGAAACGAAACCCAGCTCGTGATCCAAGACGCTCCTCTCGAGTAAACTCCAAGAAATCAAATCCCTGAAACAAAAAGGTAGC